CTATAAATGACGAAAACAGCCTTCAGGGCTGCGGGGTGATTCCATCAGGCGATGTTTATACAGCCCTCGGAGCAGCACTAGGTGTCTGCGTTAAGACACAGTATAATTCCGCAGCAGAAAATCCCGGGAAAGTTACCTGTGGGATCAGTGCTTGGCTTGGAAAGGATATTTTGAGCTCCGAGAAAATCGGTGTCCCGGTCCTGTTCCCCCCCCGGTCGGTGCCTATAGCATGAATAGCATCCCTTCCTCGCTAAATGGAGCAGCTAATGGAGCATTTCGGCGCGGCTCGGGTGTCACCGGGAGCCGGGTTTGAAACCCAAGAGGCCGAAGGGCACGGGGAGCGCTGGCAGGGAGCGCTGGCAGGGGGTGAGCAACGGCGCGGGGGGTTCCATCCCCGCTCTCTGGGGGGGATTTGGGATGAGCTGCCACCACCACTGGGGCTGCTGCTGCTGCTGGAGTCCCTGGGTTTTAACTCCCTGTAAAAGTCTGTGCTTGCTTCCAATTTCTGTCTGGTTCAGGAGTCGAGTGGCATTTGGGCATTTTGGGGTTTCTCCACTGGCGTCCATATTAGAGCATGGGTGCTTTTGTGCCTGTCCCAGGCCTGGGTTTGTCCCCGTGTTACCTTGTAGGCATCACAGAGACTCTTTCCAGTAACTTCCAAACTGTCCTCACTTAATTCTGCCGCGGGAGACAGCTTGTCCCTGTTCCTTTGCAGTTTGGGGGGGTGAATTCCAAAAGCCACTCGCTCTCTTGGCACCAAAGCTAATTTTAAACGAGCCCCAAGGTGTTTCCCCGCTCTGCTGTCGCCGTGGTGGTGGTTTGAGGGCCGAGGAATCTCCTCTGCCAGCACTTGACCCTGGGGAGGGGTTGATGGGTGTCGTTCCGGGGGTGATGTTCTTCCCCGCCCCTGTTAAATGAGATGCTTTGTGCGGCCGTAGCCGGGAGCTTGTGAAACCCAACCCCGGCTCTGCCGGTGACTTCCCCAATGCCCTGGGGCAAATCACTTACCCTCTCTGTGTCCCGGCGCTTGTCGGGGTGAGGAACGCGGTGCTCACACCTCTGCTTTTCATTCCTCTGCCACGTCTCGTGGGTTCTCCTCACGTGTTCCTACGTAAATTAGAAATACGCTTTAAATTGGGCGGTGGAGACGGGCAATTTGAGCGAGTTGGTGGACGCTCTGGGCTACAAAACGCTGCACAGGGGGAGGCAGAGGTAAAGCGTGGAAAAAAGCGGGGGAAGGATGAGCAATGTGGACAAACCAGGATTAAATCAAGGAAAGGACTGTTTGCCAAAGAGGAGCAGCATGGAAAGGTTTGGAGGGCTAACCAGAAACCTCCCTTTTGCTTAAGAAACTTTGCAAGGCAAATTAATGCCACGGTTTGCCTGAGGAATGTTTTTGTCACTGAGTGCACACGAGGTGGAAATCAGCCAAGAAACCCTTTTCTGCCTTGTTTTGTTGCAGATGGAGCCTGATCTGAAGCAGGACACGGGATTCTCTGGGAGCAGGCGGTGTCAGCACCTGTAATGCAGCCTCTGCTTCAGTCCCACACCCCACTGGATGAAGGTCAGTTTAGGAAAACACCTGCAGTGTCCACTGGAGGTGCTGCCAGAAAAGGTGTTTTCCTGTAATCTCCCACCTCGGGAGCAGGAAGTAACCTTTATTTTTCCCAGCTAAAAATCCCTGCTGGTTTTGATGGGTAGGGCAATATCTGGGAGAAGAACTCTATTTATAACGTGCCAAACAACGCTGTTTGAGTGTGCCCCAAAGTAATTCCTATTCCTTTATTAACCCCAAGATAGGCTGTTGTACAATGTGAACCTTGAGAGCAACGTGACACCCTCTTAAAAAGGCAGGTGGAAACCCCTTCAGAGTGCCCTGGGACCTGCAGCTTGAGCAAAGGTTACCAGCTGTCTTATCTTCTGCAAAGATAGTCTTGCCTTGGACTTTAAATGATGGGACTCTGTTAATGAGAAATCCCAGGGCAGATAATGGGTAAAATGATAATTTTGGTTCTGCCATGGCCCATCTTCAACCATCCCTGTGTGGCCTCAGGCAGCTGGGCCTGTGGGTTGTGGGTTTCTCTTCCTTGGGATGATTTTCTGTAGGATTTTTGGTGTTTTGGCCCACAGGGATCAATTAATTATGTTGGAATGCCCTTCATACTCATTTTCATGCACAGCACGGCTTCACTTATCTGCATTTTATCTGCAGCCACGCTGGGATCAGTTGAGTTTGAACCTTTTAGGGGTAATTCTGAGTCACCCCAGGCACGTGTTGGCAGGTTCTGGGTGGGAATTTTCTCCGGGGTCACAGTGCAGGGAGGGTGTGTAGAGTCAGGAGCTGGGTGGACCCAGAGGAGTTGATTTATTCCAGTTTATTTATATCCCTTCCCAGCTCAGACTCCCCATTCTGGGATGGCAGAATAATTACTGCTGTCCCTTGGGGGAAAATGTCATTGGAGTAATTGTGCAGCTGCCAGAAGGTCCTTGGGGAACCCCCACCCCAGGGGCTGATGTCAGACGTGCTTTTCTGGGGCAGTTTTGGGAGCTGGTACTCAGCCCTCCTGTGAGCTGGTGTTGGTTCCTCCAGTAAAGAACTAAATCTGATCTGTCTGAGGATCAGGCTTTGCTCTTTCTAAGAGCTGGCTGAAGCAGTGGAACATCTTGCTGTAGCTGAAGCAGCTCAGAAGGGTCTCTCTGAGTTCCTTTTCGTGCTGTTTGGGTTTGTGATGCTCTGATTTGCAGCATTAAAGTTACAGTCCCTGTGACCCCAAGTTCTCAAACCAGTGTCATGTGCAGTGACTGTTAGAGCAAGATTGGGTTTGGCTGTTGTTAAATGCCTGCAAACAAATGCAGTAAGTGCTTTTTTTACAAGGTTTAAATTATTCCCAATTAGCTGGTGCTTGCCCTGAGGCAGGAGCAGACACAAAACCCCAGCGACCAAAGCACTGTGGAATTTGTCCTTTTGGTATGTAAAAACTGGGGCAGGTAGAGTTAAATTGGTGTTTAATGCTACTTTCATCTCCTTCACCTCCCCATATATCAATACTGCCCTTGGATCAGCTGGATTTTCCAAGCTGGGAGCCAGAGCTGGGTGTTGCTCCCTGCCAGCACGGGACCCAATGCTTCCTCTAGACTGAAGTCAGTGTTTCTGCTTTGTGACCTCCCTGAAACGGGGTGGAAGCCCCTTCAAACCTGGAACTAGAAAGCGAGGACCAGCTTTTTAAAGTGCTCTCTGAGCATTTGATCAAGCAGTAACTAAGAGCTGGGTCCTTCCAGCCCAGGTGATTGTTCTCCACCTTCCTTGAACTCCTGACACGGCCCTGCCAGCCCAGCCTGCTCTTTTCTTCCACGCTTGGTGACAAGAAACTTCACTCTAAACCAATTTGTCGGGCTGCCACTGGAGGGCTGCTCTGCCCCGGGCCCCGCAGCAGCACCTCTGGTGGCGTCGTAGGAATTTCCATTTAGCCACCAGACAAAAGCAGTGTGGTTCTGACATCTCATCGAACCCTCTGCATGATTAATTAGCTCATTAATCATTAAGCAGTTAATCGGTAAAGATTAATAGGCTGAGGGCTGAATCTCTGGGTGCCAGGAGCTTGTGTTGTTTGTCGCAGAGCGAGAGCCAGTCAAGGATCTGGTGGCATTTTGTGTGTGTGAGGAGCTCCAGCTGCTTTCCCCCCACGGGAGGTGTTAGCAGGGCAGAAAGAACAACAGCAGCCAAAAAGAGCAGAAATGAACCAAAATACCACAGTGAGCCAAAATATTCACGGGGCCTGAGCTGGAGCTTGAGGTGTATTCCCTAACTCCGAGGCTGTTCAGGGAAACAAACGATCTCTTCACAGACCTGACAGGTTCCACCCCCGTGGTAGTGACCAGCTGTCATATTCCTGGCTAAGCCCATGCCAGAGCAGCCTCCAGCAGCTTGGCTGGCTCCTGGCAGAAGCTGTGTTAGTCCCTGCTGGGTTTGGGGTGTTTTGGGAACCGGCAGGCTCGGGAGCGTGGCCTGCCCGGGCTCCCCGCCAGCACCTTGTCACTGGAGCAGCACAGGCAGTGCTCATTAATATTTATCTCTCTCTTCTGGCAGATATGAAGGAGGGGACACAGTTCAGCTTTGCAGGAGCTGAGGTGGGGTTTGGTGTGGCCCCCTGTGGCCAAGCAGGGCTCCAGTAATGGGTGTCTGTGGGCTGCCCAGTTCCTCCATCCCACTGGCAGTGTGCTGCCTCTGGAGCACACGGTGTTCCTTGGGCTGGCGGGTGCCACCAAATCACACGGAGCAGGATGGTAATGAAGGCCTGGGACGAGAACTGCCTGTGCTCTGGGCTGGAGAACCGAGCCCCTGCCCTCTGCTCTCCTGGGGAAACTGGTTTCAGACGCGGGGCTGGTGACCGGCACCGGCAGAGCGAAATGAGAGCTGTGGTTTCCAAAATGCCAGCAGGGCGTTAGCAGGATGACCTCAGAGAGGGACTCAGAGACCACCCTGGACGAGGACTCCCAGCCCAACGATGAGGTGATGCCCTACAGCGACGACGAGACGGAGGACGAGCTGGAGCCTCGGCAGCCCGGGGCTGAGCCGGGACAGAGCCAAAGCCACGGCGAGGAGAGCCGAGAGCCCGGCAGAAAAGGTACCAGGGGCTGGGGAGAAACCATCCTGTGCTCAGTTGTCAGGTGGGATTTGGAAGAGCTTATCTGAGTGTGGAGGAGGAGTTGATGGCAGGTCGGTTTAACAAAGCTCCGTTCCGAGCTGCAGCAACAGTTCTGGACCACCAGTCCCTGCATAAAGCTAATGAGTTGTGTGGTGACCTCCTCTTAATTAAGGCAGGCACTGGATGTGCATGGCCTGTGCTCTGGGAACTGCTGGAGCAGAGCTCCAGATGCTTGTCCTCCCAGTCCTCTGGGAACTGGCACCAGCAGAAGCTGTTTGCCGTGTCCAGCCAGTGGTTTCCCTGGATTTCTGCTCCCTGAGGCTTGCACGGAGCAGATTTCCGCCTCACCGCTCCTTTTGTAGCCTCCTGAGATTCCTGAAAGGTAAAAGGTGAGTGGGAGGAGTTCAAAGGAACCATCAGGTGCAGCCTGTGGCTGCTGCCAGGGGAGGAACATCAGGGGGAGGAACCTTTCTGGCATCCCTTCAAGCCTCTGCCCGAGGAAGAGCTGTAGCTCCTTTAAATCCCCCTTCTGCAGGGCTGCAGTGGGAGCACTTTTCATTTAACCAAGGCCTGTTTAATTAATACAGATTCCTTCCTGCTCGGGTGGCAACTCCCCTCTGGTTTTATAACCACCTCCGATGTGTTTTCAATTTACAACCCCCATCACACCTTTCGTTTTGGGGATTTGTGTGATGACATTCTTTAAAGATGATGACTGACCAACGCAGCTGCCCAAATATTAGGCATTAGTGTCAGAGATTAAAGTCATTAATTTCACGGAGCTTCCTTCCTGCAGGTTTTATTTCAGCACCCAATTTGCCGGGTTTCTATCAGTTTTATCAATGTTTTCAGAATGTGGTGAAGAAATGTTTATGTAGACTCGTTGACGATTTTGTTTAGCCCTGTCATTTTCACCAAATTTAATTACTTTCTCAATTCGTGCTCTTATAAACTTTTAACCCCAGACCCGGTCCTCCAAGGTAAATATTTCTCTTTTATCTTCGGGGCTCGTTACGAGCTTGTGGCTTTCACGTTGGTTACAAGCCCCGAAAAAAAAAAAAAGGGGAAAGATCCAGGTGTGCCAGTCCGGACTTGCTGGAAGGTGGGAGGAAAACAAAAGGCTTTGTGCTCCCACGCCTCTGCCGCCGGCGGTTTCGCGGGGAGGAGAATCCCAGGAAACCAGGAAGAGCAGCCGCGGGTTGAGGGAAGGGGGAGATGCTCGTGGGATGAGTCAGGGAAGCTGCGTTTCCAAACCCTGCCTGCGTCAGTCGCAGGCATGGAAAATCACTTCCCCAGTGCAATTCCTATCCCTGAGTTTTCATGAGATCGGACAAAACTGAGGAAATAAAATGAACCCTGCAGATTTGTCCCTTTTTTGTGGGTGCAAATGAAAACCGTGGCACCTTTTAAATCGTTAAGCAACACTTCTTCCTACCCCCGGTGACATTTGAATTGTTAATAAAGACAAATAGCCTGGAAAACCGCCTTGAAAAGCTTTTTTTTAGCCTCTGCACTAAAAAGCAGGTACCAGCCTTGCTCCAGTCGAAGGTGCCTTTAGAAGATGGATTTGAGAGAAAGCCTAAAAGGGCCAGATTTTGTGTTTGTGGCGAGTTTTGACCCGTTTTGTCGCTTCCAGACTGCACCTGGCAAGTGAAAGCAAACGACCGGCGCTTCTACGAGCAGCCCGCCTTTAAGAGAACGATCTTCCTGTGCTTCAAAAAAAGCAAATACGCGGTAAGTCGTCCCGCCTCAACGAGGTGCTAACTGCCAGGCGAATGCTTCCTTTATCCCCGCGGCATCTTCGGGATGGCTGGGGAGCGGTGGAAAAGCCACCGTTCCAACTTCCTTAGGGTTTCCAGCAGAGGAGGGGGAACTGGGTTGGGGGTTGTGAATGGAAAATCAAGGTTTAGAGAAGCCAGGTGCCCTCAGCCCAAAATATCTTTGCTTAAAAATATGCACATTTGTGATGGAAGAAGAACCTGACATTTGGGTTTCTCCCACAGGACAATGCAATTAAGACATACAAGTACAACCCCATCACTTTTTTACCTCTGAATCTGTTCGAACAGTTCAAGAGGGCAGCCAACTTCTATTTCCTTGTTCTTCTCATTTTGCAGGTAAGAAAGGCAGAGAACACTCCCCGTGGAGGGAATTTGGGCTCAGTGGTATTTGTGACACAGTTCAGGGCACTGCCTGAACTGTTCCCAACAGAAACAGGATGGGCTGGATGCAGAGCTCAGGAGTTTCATGGGGAAAAGATGTGTCTGGAGTTCAACTCGGGAATCAGAAGCACCCACAGAATATATGATTTTTAAAGAGGAGCTGCTGCTGATGTCGAGCAGCACAGCCAAGCTTCTCCTGGAGAGTTTCGTTCATTCTCACAGCCTGACTTAAAAAAATTCCCTCTGCTCTGTTGGTTTCTTTCTCCTGCTCCAGTCAGATCGGTAGGAAAGGTCTCTGGGTTGAGCTCGTGCTGAACTGACCTGCTTCCCTTGCTGTTTTGTAGTCCATTCCCCAGATAAGCACCCTGGCCTGGTACACGACGCTGGTGCCCCTGCTCTTCGTGCTGGGAATCACTGCAGTCAAAGACCTGGTGGATGACATTGTAAGAGCCCTGCTCTGTTCACCTGAAGAGCAAACCCTCCCCCCCGGTGGAGCTCCTTTGCCCTGTTGTGACACGTTCTCTGCTCTGGTTTCAGGCCCGGCACAGGATGGACAACGAGGTCAACAACAGGACATGTGATGTCATCAAGGATGGAAGGTGTGAATGTGCCTTGTTTGCCTTGTTACTGAGCTTTGTCAGGGATCTGAGGGCGTTCAGCTCTCTGTTCTCTGCTACCCGGGGGGGGAAAACCTAATTGAAACTGGAGGAGAATTGGCCAAAGGAATAATTTAACATTAATCCTGTGGCGCTAAATCTGTGCTGAGAGACTCTGGAGAGAAGGACAGGAATTTATATCCAGGTGGAGGGGGAAGAGAAGAAGTAGGTTAGGACTTCTAAATTACAGACCTGTTTCCAAAAAGCAAACCTACTCTATCCCAAGAGGTCCTGTTTTCCTCTTAAGGAAAGTCCAGTATTGCAAGACGTATGGAGTGCATAGTGCTCTAGATTAAAGAGTAGTAATCATCAAACTATCTTGATATCAGGTTCAAAACCACAAAATGGAAAGATATTCAAGTTGGCGACGTCATTCGTCTGAGGAAAAACACCTTCATTCCTGTAAGTGCTGCAGATGCTTTTGGTTTATGTTTCTACAGAGTTCTGGGGGAACCTTGACCTGCATTTATTTTTACTTGATTTGTTTTCTAGGCTGACATTTTGCTGCTGTCCAGCTCAGAACCAAACAGCCTGTGCTACGTGGAGACAGCTGAACTGGATGGGTGAGGATGTCTCGGAGTTAATTTGGGATGATGGGTCAGAGAGCAAAGGGGGTGCACCTCAGATTCTACCTGTTAAGTGGGGAACTGTGGGAACTGTGTTGATTCCCACCATTCAAGGATCATTATAAATCAGTGAGGGTCCACTGGAGTGGCACAGAGATGTCAGAAGTGTTGGAGAATGTGACATAGGAAGGACATGGACTGATTTTTTACCTCTGGAAAAGGTTGTCCAGAGAAGTGGTGGCACCCGTGGCATATCCATTTCCTCCATTTAATGTTGTTCAAACATCTCTCCTTTTTATCCTTTTTATCCTTTCTTCTCAGTGAGACTAATTTAAAGTTCAAAATGGCCCTGGAGGTGACACACAGGCAGCTTCAGGAGGAGAGCTCCCTGGCAAACTTTGATGGTTGGTACAGCTCTATCCTTGGCACTGAGTTCACAGCTCAGTGCAAGCAAAGTAAAGCTCCTTCTGTGCTTCTGGTGAATTAAACACATTCCCCTCCAAATTCTGTAGGTCTGATTGAGTGTGAAGAGCCCAATAACCGACTGGACAAGTTCACAGGAACGTTATTCTGGAGGAACTCCAGTTACTCCCTGGATGCTGATAAGATTTTGTTGCGTGGGTGTAAGATCAGGAACACAGATTTCTGCCACGGAATGGTGGTGTTTGCAGGTGTGTTAACATTTAGAGTGAAAAGGCATCTTCATCCTCTAGACATCACCTGCATTTCATGTCCTGGTGTGGTAAAACAGCCACTTGTTCCTTTGTTATATCTTTCCCCTGTTTGAATTTTTTACTCTTCATTTTTTAGGTGCTGACACCAAAATTATGAAAAACAGCGGGAAGACGAGATTTAAAAGGACCAAGATTGACTCCCTCATGAACTACATGGTTTATACTGTAAGGCTTTTTGTTTAAAATTCCCAGGGTTTTTGAGTGAGTAGTGAATGCCAAGCCAGGTGTGTAACAAGAACGTCTCCAATTGTTTTGCTGAGCTGGGGTGGAGCAGGAGGAAATGCAGGAAGGTGCCTTTGTGGGAAAGGTTTACTCCTGTTCTCCTGTCATGTTTTGACGGGGATTTGGGATTTAAGGTGGGCAGAGAGTGACAGGCCCGTGTGCCCCCCGCAGATCATCGTGGTCCTCATCCTGCTGTCGGCCGGGCTGGCCATCGGGCACACCTACTGGGAGCAGCAGGTTGGCAACTGCTCCTGGTACCTGTATGACTCAGAGGACTTCAGCCCTCCCTACAGGGGCTTCCTCAACTTCTGGGGCTACATCATCGTCCTCAACACCATGGTGCCCATCTCCCTCTACGTCAGGTAGGGGGGTGCCGGGGCGGTGCCGTGATTTCGGGGCTGAGCTGCAGCTGGCAGGGAGAACATTCCAGCATTCCCTTTCTCCTTCAGTGTGGAAGTGATTCGCTTTGGCCAGAGCTACTTCATCAACTGGGACCTGCAGATGTACTACGCCGAGAAGGACACGGCGGCCAAGGCCAGGACCACCACGCTCAACGAGCAGCTGGGGCAGATCCAGTACATCTTCTCGGACAAGACCGGGACCCTCACCCAGAACATCATGACCTTTAAAAAGTGCTGCATAAACGGCCAAAGATACGGTAATCTGGGCAAAGGGAGGGATTTTAATGCTCCAGGGAAATCAGGTGCACACGAGTCGTCTGAGTTCCAGCTGAACTGCCCCAGTTTGCCCTGGCACTGAGTAAAAGCTCCAGTACAGTTGAATTACAGTGGGGTTTTCCCACTGTTTTCCCATTTAGAGAGTGGAACTTGATGGGCTCGAGTGGAAACTTCCCAGCAGAAAATTTACAAAACTATTTACTTTCACTAAAATGTTTTGGGGACAAGACCTAGAAACAACCGAGGAAATTCAGCAAGAGCAGCAGCTTCCCCTCTCCCTGTTCCTTCCACTCCTAGTGCAGGACATAATTTAGATCTGTCTGACTTCGTGCTGGGTTGTAAAAGCTTTGCTGTGGTCCCTCTGACGGCGGGTGCTCGCCTTGCAGGAGACAGCCGGGACAGAGCGGGGCAGCTCCAGAGCCACCCCGAGGTAGGTCCGTGGAACTGCGGCACGGGCACGGCGCCTCGGCACGGCGTGGGGAGGTGCAGGGGGGCACAAAGCAAGGGCACCTGGGGTAACTCGGCCTCTCCCCTGCCCCGTTTTCCAAGCAGCGAGTGGATTTCAGCTGGAATGTGTACGCGGACGGGAAGTTCCTCTTCTATGACCACTACCTGATAGAGCAAATAAAGGCTGGGAAGGAGCCAGAGATTCACAAGTTCTTTTTTCTGCTTGCCATTTGTCACACGGTCATGGCTGACACCTCTGATGGTGAGTGTGGGCTTTTTGTTGGTTTGTTTTTTTTTTTCCTCGTGCAGGAGGAAACGATAATTCACATGCAGGGATTGCACAGGGGAGAGGCCCAAAGGCAGTGCTGATCCCATAAAGGAGGAGGAGTGTTATCATGCTCTTTTCAATGAAACAAACCCAAATGTAGAGGTGACCAGCTATTGAATTCGGGGATGGGAAACATCAGGTTGGAAGATTCAGTGAAAACATGGGAATGTTGCTTCACTCCCACCTTTGTGAGCTGGTGATACCAACAGCACCCTGTCCCTTTCTTGCTCTTGGGGCTGTGTCCACTCGTTGTATGGGTGTCTGTGGCCAAGGGTTGGTCTTTTGGAGCTTAAATGGCTGCACTGAGAAACCAAGATATCGAGGCAGAGGAGTTTTTGGTGCCTGCAGGCAGGTGGGTTCAGGACTGATCCCGATGGGAGCACATCCAGCAAAAAGGGGTCCTTGGTCGCTGTTCTCCGTGTTGGGGCTGTCCAGGTGTGTCCTCAGGTGTATCCTGGCTTTCTCTCCTCCCTCCTCCAACGCTGCAGGTCAGCTCAACTACCAGGCAGCCTCCCCGGACGAGGGGGCCCTGGTGACGGCCGCCAGGAACCTGGGCTACGTCTTCCTGTCCCGCACCCAGAACACCATCACGCTCAGCGAGATGGGCGCCCACAGGACCTACGAGGTCCTGGCCATCCTGGACTTCAACAGCGACAGGAAGAGGATGTCCGTCATCGGTGAGCTCCTGGCGACCGACCTCCGTGAAAAGGGTGTCTCCTGGGGGAAGGGGGGACTGGGGGGCAAGAATTAGCAGCTGGGTGACAGCCCTGTGGCACAAGAAGCCTGATCTTGTAGCTTTGGCACGTAGCAACAGGCTGAAAAATCCAACCTGAGACTGTTCCTCTGTGCTCTGACGTTTTGTGCCACCTCTCCTGTTTTCCTGCGCAGTCAGAGAGGCCGGGGGGGACATCAGGCTGTACTGCAAAGGGGCTGACACGGTGATTTATGAGAGGCTGCACCCCAGCAATCCAAAGAGAGAGGCCACAGAAGAGGCGCTGGACGTATGTTTGTTTTTTATATGCCGGTTTTAAATCAACAATCGTGTCTTTCTGACAACAACGTCATTAATTTCCTTCTCCTGAGCTATTAACACAAATGCCATTGCTTCTGCAAATCAGACTTGTTTTATCAAGCTTTCTGAATCCCCTGGTCTTAACTCTTACATTTGGATTGCAAATGAAGAGTTTTCTTTTGTGCATGTCATTTTTCAGGTGTTTGCAAATGAAACTCTCAGGACTCTCTGCCTGTGCTACAGAGACATAAGTCAGGATGAATTTGATGTGTGGAATAAAAAGTTTGTGGAGGCCAGTTTAGCTACAAGTAACCGAGATGAAGCTCTGGACAAAGTGTATGAGGAGATAGAAAAAGACTTGATTGTAAGAAGCTGGACATTTTTAGTGTACTTCTATTCTTGTATTAAAAGAAACCCATTTTTTTATGCTACTAAACCCCTGCATTTCAAATCCCCCCCAGCTGCTTGGTGCAACAGCTATTGAAGACAAACTGCAGGATGGAGTTCCAGAAACTATCTCCAGACTCTCCAAAGCAGACATCAAAATCTGGGTGCTCACTGGTGACAAAAAAGGTGGGTTTGCTTACAGCCAAGGAGCTAAAAACAGGAGGATGTTTTCCTGTTCATCCACACTGTGGCATTGAAAGGGAATTCTCATACTGAGGCATAAATCAGAAATTACTGAAGTGCTCCCAACAGACAGAACTTTCAGTAAATACTTTCCTCTCCGTTTCTTCATGTAGAAACTGCTGAAAATATTGGGTTCTCTTGTGAACTCTTGACAGAGGAAACAGCCATCTGCTATGGAGAAGATACCAGGCAAGTGAAAACACAGAGGATTTCCTCTCCAGGGTTTTCAGTCTGGGACTGACCAAGCTCAAAGTTTGTCCTTGGTTCTCCTGTAACAGCCTGCCCCTCTCTTTCCAGTGCTCTCCTGCAAACTAGGCTGGAAAACCAAAGGAACAGGGCTGGCTCCAGCCCCCATTCCTCTCTCAGGATGAACGAGCCCTTCTTCCAGGGCAGCAAAGATCGGGCTCTAATCATCACAGGCTCCTGGCTGGTACGTGCAAAGGCTGGTTGGGATTTTGGGACTCTGTTCCTTTGTCCTCACGAGCAGTTCATTAAAGTGCCAGAAATGTGTGCTGGGAGTGTAGTGACCACCTGGAGTGGGACTGGAAAGGGTGCAGAAGGGAACGCGACACATTTCTCTTGCACAGAACGAAATCCTGCTGGAGAAGAAAAAGAAGAAGAAGAAGAAGCTGAAGCTGAAGTTCCCCCGCACGGCAGAAGAGAAGGAAAAGCAAGCTGAGAAGAGGAGGAGGGCTGAGGCCTACAAGGAGCAGCAGCAGAAGAACTTCGTGGACCTGGCGTGCGAGTGCAGGGCGGTGATCTGCTGCCGCGTGACGCCCAAGCAGAAGGCCATGGTGGTGGAGCTGGTGCAGAAGTACAAGAAGGCCGTCACCCTGGCCATCGGGGACGGCGCCAACGACGTGAACATGATCAAAAGTAAGGCAGCTGCAGCACTCTCTGGCTAGGACACGTCTCCTCTGCCCTGCTCCTGCGCTCTCTCCGCTGTCCCTCTCTGCTCCGAAGACTCTTCCATCTGTGTCACTGCCACAGGGCTTTTAGCTTCTGGGCCTGTTTCCCTTTCTGAGGAAGCCCTTTAGGAAATGGTTAGTGGTTTTTCCTGATCTATTTTTTTTTGTTTTACACATTCCCTGAGAAGGGACCTGAATTCCCTCTGTTCTCATGTTGGGGGTTACAGGGGTGTAATATAAAAACCAAAGCAATAGCCTGGGTGCCCCTTGCCTGGGGGCATTAACCATCCTGGATTGCAGCTGCTGCTCTTTGAGCCACTTCCCAAGAGATCCCACTGAGAAAGAAACCTCTGGGATGGGGTTTATGTCCCTAAACTGCCCGGCCAGTTTGTTCAGGGCTTTGCTTGCTCCGTTTCGTCATTTGGTTCTCCCTCGGTCAGATTTCCCACGTCTGTTGTGACAGAGCAAGGACTGAGAGAGAACCCAGGTGACAGTCACGTCCAACCTGGCGTGTGGTGTTTGTGTCCTTGCCCCAGCTGCCCACATTGGAGTTGGGATCAGTGGCCAGGAGGGGATGCAGGCCGTCATGTCCAGCGACTACTCCTTCGGGCAGTTCCGCTACCTGCAGCGCCTGCTGCTGGTCCACGGGCGATGGTCCTACATCAGGATGTGCAAGTTTCTGAGATACTTCTTCTACAAGAACTTCGCCTTCACGCTCGTCCACATCTGGTACTCCTTCTTCAACGGCTTTTCTGCCCAGGTAGGAAGGGGCTGCTGGGCTGGGATCACGGCAAGCAGGTCCTCTGTCAGTGCAGGGAGCTCAAAGCCACGGGAGAGCACATGGAGGTTTTCTCAGGAGCTGGAGGGGAAGGGTGGGATACAAAGAAGTCACCGACTCTTTTGCAGACAGCCTACGAGGACTGGTTCATCACCCTGTACAACGTGCTCTACTCCAGCCTCCCGGTCCTGCTCGTCGGCCTGCTCGACCAGGTACTCCCACAGACAAGTCCAAAGGCATCTGCCTTTACTTGCATAAAACAAGGGCAGTTTGTTTGGGTTTGTGGTGTTTAAAATGTTTTCCTCCTGCATTACTCCATGCAAAGCCCTGCTATTGGACAGAGAAAGGGATCTGCCATTCCCTTTGGGACACCTCTCTCTCTCTCTCACTCTGAGAACAACACGTTGCAACAGCTTTCCTTTCCTTTCCCCCCTTCATTAAGGACGTGAGCGACAAGCTGAGCCTTCGGTTCCCCAGACTCTATATTTTGGGCCAGAGGGATCTACTTTTCAACTACAAGAAGTTCTTTCTAAGTTTGCTCCACGGAGCTGTAACTTCACTCATCATCTTCTTCATCCCCTACGGAGCTTACATGAAATCTATGGGACAAGATGGAGAAGCCCCTGCAGATTATCAGTCCTTTGCTGTCACAGCAGCCTCTTCCCTGATCTTTGTCGTCAATTTTCAGGCAAGTAAACGTGGCTTCCTGGACTCTGGTGCTCTGAGAACGCCTTCTGCTCACGGTTCTAAATTTCTCTGCTAAAAATGTAACAATATGCAAAAAGCAGTTGATGATATTTGGAATTAATAAACTCACTGGGCGCTTTTGCTTGCTTTCAGATTGGCCTGGACACATCTTACTGGACTTTTGTTAACGCTTTCTCAGTGTTTGGGAGCATTGCACTTTACTTTGGGATCACATTTGACTTCCACAGTGCTGGAATCCACGTCCTCTTCCCTTCTGGCTTTCAGTTCACAGGTCAGTCCTCGTGGTTTGTGGCTCTCGCTCCTGTCTCGGGCAGCGCTGTCACACACTAATTGTTCTGTTAATTGCCAGGAACTGCTCCCAACGCTCTGCGCCAGCCGTACCTCTGGCTCACCATGATTTTATCCATTGCCATCTGCCTGCTCCCTGTAGTGGCCCAGCGTTTCTTAGCCATGACAATCTGGCCTTCGGAGAGCGACAAAGTGAGTGCAGTCTGCCTTGGTTTGGTGAATTTGGCAGGTGGTGTTGGCAGGCTGAGACCTGGGCTGGTAGAAGGTGGCCCTGCCCGTGGCAGGGGAGTGGAGAGGATGGGCTCGAAGGTCCCTTTCAACCCAAACCAGCCTGAGATTCTGTAATTCCCTGAGAGACAAAGAAGTGATGGTGCCCTCAGGGAGGTGACACAAGCCTGGGGCTGGGGTCTTGTGGGCAGAAAGGGTGCAGCTCAGTGGGGGCCGATTGACTGCGTGCTTGGCTGAGACCTGGTGACACCACAGAGACCCCGGGAGGGTTCCGAGAT